TATATATACAAGTAAACACCATCAACCCTTGACAAAGATTCAACCCTCAAAAGCTTTGCAAGAAAGGCATGCCCTGAAGTGTCCTCCTTGACACAAATCCATGCTCACCAAATTTGTTCGTCATCCAGGTTGCTGCAACAGGAAGTTGATGGTGTGGAAGACGTTCAGCTTGATGGCCTTCGCAGCAATCTCGTCTTCTGTGGCCTGCTGTGAGATTCACCACCAGCAGAGCAAAACGGCACAAAAAAATACTATACCGCTTTTGGGAATAAATCAAAGGGTTTTGGTCGACGGGCCTGAGAATTAGATTTTTGATACAGTGGTGCCTGCCAAGGAGAACTCCCCCTCTCATCCCCTCCCCGTGCAACAGCGCCAGGACACCTTGCGGCCGCATTGAGCTTGAGCTTCCGACACCACAGAGCCCAACTCGTTGAGAAGAACATCCAAAGCTTGGGACGCCTGCATCACCATTGATGGAATGTGGCAGTCATAAGGAGGATGTGAGGACTCTGACAAGTGTGACGGGCCATCCTCATCTTGTGACACATCATTCCTCACCTTTTCTTTCGACCTTTTCTTTCGATTCTGCTTTCTAGGCGGATTTGAGTGGCTGCTAATTGACTCAAAAAACGCAATTTGAAATGGCATCTTGTGATCCCAAGAACTTCTTTCAACATCTCAAAAGATGCCAAGCCTTCTTCTTCTCATCTTTGGGTGCCAAGTAAGTGGCCGTGGCACCCTTGATGGCCCCGCAGTTGGTGTGGCCCAGCACGAAAATTAGCTGAGTGTTCAGGGCCCCAGTGCAAAACTCAAGGCTGCCCAAGATACTGCCTTCTGCATGTGTGCAGGTGTTGCCCGCGTTGCGCAGAACAAACAAATCTCCTGGCAAAGCATCGAAGACGGTTTCCAAAGGCACACGCGAATCAGCGCAGCCAACCAGGGCAGTGTGGGGTGCTTGACCCTTCAGTGCAAGGGCTTCTCGCATGCTGTTGTCCACCTTGGCAATAGGAGCACCTTTCACAAAGCGTGCATTTCCCTCCTTGAGATTCTTCAGAGCCACCTTTGCTTCCTTGGCTCAGGTGAACTGCACTACATCGTTCGGAAGCTTAGTCGTGCTCAAGACTCTCAGAACAATCCCATTTGCAACCCTTTCCCTCCTTTCATACGGGAATGCTTCATGCCAGCAAAATGTTGAAGGGTTTTGTGATCTTCACAAGAGATGCTCAAATGCGCAAAGCTTCAAGGGTACCATCCTGGGAGGTGCGGACAGTTCCCACTGCCATCGACGGAGGCAGAGACAACTTGGAAGACAAGAGCTCGGATTGACGAGGAGAGCGACCAAGGAATTCCACCCGGCCCGTCTCCAAGTGGTAGATGCCGCCCTGGATGTCCAGATCTCCTTTACTCACGAGATCACGGATCGGCTCGCTGAACCTGGGCTGAATGAGGATCAAGAAGAAGCGTTGTTGCTGGAAGGCGCTCATTCTTTATCCCTAAGTTCACTTAATCTTTTAGAACAGACCAAAAATCGAAAACATATCAAGCTGAGTGAGGATGTTGAGCAACTGCAGCAAGAAGTTCATGGAGTTAAAGACATTCACCTTCACAGCATGGGACACCAGCTTTTCCTGCGCTGCACCGGGGCCCAGATCGTCGCTGGCTTCCTTGGCGACAGAGGCGAGGCCTTGCAGCAAGCCTTCCAGTGCACAACCTGATCCACAGAAGAACCCTGAAAATGAGTCCTGCTTACATACATCTACAGTAACTGCAAAAAACTCAAGTTTGCCGTATGACTTTAGGAACAAGCTCTGCATACATACTCTGGATCAATGCTTTTGGGCGCAAAACCCGCCGCTCACCTGGTGCTTTGGAGGATCCACTCTGGAATGTCTGAGTTGCACCAGCAATGGCTCCGCATTGAGTATGCCCCAGAACAAGGATCAAACGAGTGCCAAGCTTGCCGGTGCAAAATTCCAAAGATCCAACCATACTGCCTTCTGCGTGTGTGCAGGTGTTGCCAGCGTTCCTAAGAACAAAAAGCTCTCCAGGCATAGCGTCAAACACTGTGTCGACCGGAACTCGGGAGTCGGCACAACCCAGGATGGCGCTGTGCGGAGCTTGGTTGTACTTCACCAAGGCCTTTCGCATGTCCCCGGAGGTCTTGCTGGCTGTCACTGCACCAATGGCAAATCGCTCATTGCCCTCCTGGTTCGGCCCAACAAAAGATGGGATCACTTGATTCGCTTGATGCTCAAAAGCAAAGTTGGCCGACACTTCTAACACGAATTCCCCGCCTTCAACATCTTCAAAGCCACATCCGAGGGCATGCGCTCATCTGCACCAGTTCGCACTCCATGGACACCACGGTCGGCATCGTTTGAAGCAACCATGGATGGGGGGAAGTGGCATGGCACTATCAAGCAATTCCGCTTGGGCTGGTGACTTTCCAAGGAACTCCACGCAGCCAGTCTCGAGGTGATAGATGCCACCCTGGATCTGAATCTGGCCACTTCTGACGCCCTCTCGAATGGACTGGCTGAACTTCAGCAAGAAATTAATGGTGTGAAAGACATTCACCTTCACTGCATGAGCTGCCACATCATCGGAAGCTGCATCTGCGCCCATCTCCTGCGCAGCTTGTTCAGCCACTGTGCCAAGGTCTTGCAGCAAGCCCTCCAAAGCACATCCAGCCTTTGAGCATGAAGGCATGTCTTGAAATAAGCGTTCTATAGACTCTGCTAGACACAAGCGCTTTTGACTTTCAGTCCCATCCAAAACCATCCAAAACCATCCAAAACCTAAGTATTCCAAGTACCTTGCTCAAACCCTGCCTTCTTTCCTGGCTGAGTGGAGTCCAAGTACGTCTTGGTAGCACCATAAATGGCGCCACACTTCGTGTGGCCCAACACCAGGATCAAACGGCTTCCCAGCTTTCCAGTGGCGAACTCCAGGCTTCCAACCTTGGCCATCTTGTTTCTTTAGATTTGGATTTCTTGAGCAAAACTCACCAGAAAGAAATGCAAATGGAAGCACAATTTGTGTCTGTGACTCCTTACAAGGGGGAGGAAATCATAGGTGCCACGAAGAAACCATGCTGCCTTCCGCATGCGTGCAGGTGTTCCCAGCATTGCGCAAGACAAAAATGTCACCTGGACAAGCGGCCCGATGTGGCTACTTACAGGATGACACAGCAACTTCAAGGGACTCAATAACTTTCATGTATCCTTTGTTGTTGAAGGCCCAGGCCACCATATGGCACTAATCACAACTGTACTGATAGGTCTTTAATAGGCCCTGTTTGCTGTTCCGGAACTTGCCTGGCATGGCATCGAAGATGGTCTCGAGTGGAGCACGGGAATCAGCGCAACCGATGATTGCGGTGTGCGGAGCCTGCCCTTCGTCCACCAGCTGCTGGCGAGCAGCATCTTTGGTCTTGGAACCCAAGGGACGTCCATCCACAAAGCGGCGATTTCCCTCCTCACAGGTTTCAGGCAGAAGTGTAGCTAAAGAAACGCATGCGACGCATGAGCAGCCTGAAACTACCCAAACTGACTAAAATGCCTGACGATGCCTGTGTGCACTGTCCTTCAAGAGCTTCATGGCCTCTTCAGGTGCCGTTGGTGGGTCTGCAGTGGTGCGAACCTGACGCACTGGCGGCTGGGAGCACAGCATCAAGGCATCAGCGACTTGGCTGAAGAAGGCCATGACAGGACCTCAAGTGGACACGGGCCGCTCAGGAGCTATGGTGTTTCGCGCAGGCCGTCTTGGCTGATGAGTGTGTGTGTGTGTGTTCTTTACCATGCGAGGGGATCCTCATGTCTGCGCAATGCAAGCTAAATCCACTCCTGCTGCACTCCGAGACAAGACTTTGGATAAACATGTAAATTGGTACAGTCGATCAGTCTCTACATGAACCTCATTTGCTTGTTGCTGCCTTGGCAGTTGTGCCTCACAGCAAGCCAAGTGTTGTGACTCAGGCGGCGGCAGAAGTGGGCTTTTTGAGGCGAAGGGATCAAGACAGGCTGAGCAAATGCTTAGTGGAGCGGCGTGTAGAAAGAGAACACTACTGTTTTTGACTCCCCTTTTAACAGTGCTGACCTACTGTAGCCCACAAGCCAATCCGGTGGTTTCAAAGCAAAGAGCTCCCAATGTGCTGCAGTTCGCAAGTGCCTTTTTTGTTGAGATGTGAGCCATGAAGTTTCTGGAGACAGTTGTATGATCTCCAGTTGCTGAGGAGTAGTGGTGTCTGTGCACCAGGGACCCCCCCAACAGCTTAGCAAATAGGTTATCGTCAACGCCACTGATCTTAGAGAACGGGCACGTTGAGGATTCCACGCATTCTGGAGGATGCAAAAAAATGCAGCTGCAAACTCTTGTGCAGCACTTAATTCAAAAATTACGTATAATTCAACCATACGAAAACTGTTCTGAGTCTGACTCAGATGTTGGAACTATTCATGCTCAACCTTCATGATGAGCAGGCAAACAAAAGCGTCTATGTTGCGATTCTGTTTATGCCCCTCCGACTGCAACAAGCTTCTGCTGCAATGAAGGTGGCGCAGTGCTCGTAGATTTCACCAATTTGGACTGCATTGGACTTTGGCCCAGGAACCTCGGACCCAAGCTGATCAACAAAAGCAGCCAAAACAAGAATGACCGTAAATGCAGCTTGACATTACGTTCCTCGTGTTGCGTCAACTCATCTATCAAATATCAAAACGGGAAAACTGCCGCTCGTTGAGAGAGCGAGCGTTTTGAGCTCAACCTTTACTTGATCCAGTCTGGAAACTCAACTCGCCCAGACTTCAAATCGTAGATGCCACCCTGAATCTCCAATTTCCCACTGCGCACCTGCAGCCAGCCCAGGACACCAACCCACTCAGTGCAGCACCTGGACCTGGCCTACAGGTTTGAATACAAATCCCTGGGAAAAGTAGGTCAAAAAACAACCAGTGTAGTTTTCATTGGTCTTGCGCACTCGCGACGACCCGGAGGTGTCGTGTGGACGTCGGACATGCATCTGACTTAAGGCTTCCCATGTTCCAGGTATCTTCAGCACTCCTCTGGGATTCGACTCGTTCGTAGAGAAATCCGGCCTTCTCGCGGATAGGTTCGCTGTACCTCACTGGACAAGGCATGACAAAAAGGGTCAGGCACAGTACTTGATCAAAAGGGTTCCGCAATAAGCTCATGTCCTCTCTGCCTGTAAGCAAGATAAACTGTCCAGAGCCTACGATGACCTGTCAGAAAAGGATAT